TAATCCTTTTGGAAACAATTTAGCAATAACCAGTAAAGACGAAGGGACAGGCCAGGAAGAGTGGCTCACACCTGTAATCCCAGCATTTTGGGAGGCCAAGGTAGTCAGATCACTTGAGGTCAAGAGTTCAAGACCAGGCTGGCAGACATGGTAAAACCCCATTTCTTCTACAATACAAAAAAATTAGCTGGGTGTGGTTGTGCATGCCTGTAATCCCAGCTACTTAGGAGGCTGAAGCAGGAGAATTGCTTGAACCTGGGAGGCAGAGGTTGCAGTATGCCAAGATCATGCCACTGCACTACAGCCTGGGTGACAGAGCCAGACTCTGTCTCCAAAAAAAAAAAAAAAAAGTCCCAGCTATTCTACCTCTAGGCATCTTCCTTAGGGAAACTCTCATACATGAGTACAAGGAAGTATTCACAAGGCTATTTGTTAGAATACCATTAGCAATAGCAAAAAAGTAAAAACAATGATGGCCTTCATAATCTAAATAAGCTTTCACATCTAATTTTCCATCCTTTCCCTCTTTTCTCTGAAATTTCACTCATTCATTTATTCATTTGCTGTCTTAAGGAATATTACTAGATACCTACTTTGACTAGACACCATGCTAGGCAGGCAGTTATGCTTAATTACTTGCAGTTGCCCTGCTAAACCATGGTCTTCTACTGGCTAAAGAGACTTTTCCTGTCCTTCCTCTGGGTTTTGATGTTACTTTGTATATGTTCCTGTTGAAGTGTTTATCAGTACTCCATTATCCTTGTTATTCAATTATCTAGCTACAAAATAAGTGAAGGCAGTCCCAAATCACACATTGAATTAGATATCTGAACAAAGGGCAATTCTGTTTGTTTAGATTCCATCCAACAATTGCCAAAAAAATAAATAAATAAAATGTATTTTCTAAGCTAACCTTCAGTGCTAGAATACTACTTTCATGAGGATGTCATGAAAGTACTTGTTCATCATGGTATCCCAGCACCTAGATCATTGTCTGACACATAAGAGTCACTCAATAAATACTTGTTAAGACCAAAAAGCCCAAGCAATATTATCTGACAATAATATTTTAAAGTGAAAACAGAATCATTAATTTATATAGATGCTTTATCACTGAATAAGTAAAAACTGTTTTCCCTCTTAAATAAAAAGTATTTTTTCTTTCATGGTGAGTTACCCTTACATCTTCCCACCAAATACTTTTAGAACACGTTCCAATGAATTTCTTTGCAATACAAGGTTATCAAAGACTCAAAGCCAATCATTTTCTTCTCTGTGTTACTAACACAGAAAAATTCCTACATTAACTATGAAAGGCTGGAATTGCAGCATTACTATTAGATATATAACATTTTATATTATAAAGTACACTAAAAGTAAAAATAGACAAAAGGATGCCTACTATCTAAAAAATTGCACCTGTTAAAGACTGAGTAATGAAGTCACACATACACACACAAAAGTTATTTGAATAGTTTGAGTTGAGAAAATGTTATGCCCTAAAAGGCATAATAAATCTAGTATGCATCAGGCCTCATTTGTGCTATTTTCTATATTAGTATTCTACTGTATAATAAAGAATATTTATATAAAAACAAGACAAAAAGATTTAAGCTCCTTCAGTGAAATGTAAGAGCATCAAAATGCCTTGCCAAATTATCATTCCAACTAATTCTACTTGAAGAAGAAAACAAGCTTTAGCCATTCAAGCTAGAAAAGAAAAGCATTAATTACCACTTGGAAAATATTAGAAATTAACAATAGAAACAAATTTGTACTTCTAGACTTATGAAATGATTTTGATTAAAATAGGCTATTGCTTTCATTTCATTAATTTTATTTTTTAGGAATAAATGCAGGTTAATTTCAAATAGTATCTCCTTGTCCAAACAAATAATATAACATTAATACTAGCTAGGACAATATTTGTTCCAGTAATTAAAAGACAGAAAGAATAATTTTTGAGGAATGAATTAAGACTCTTGGATGTAGGATGGCTTGGAAATCATGCTAGTAAAGACCAGAAGATACTAGTGACTAAATTTGGTGTCAGCTCTAACAACTCTCTCAAACACAAAAAAAATTCACAGTAAGGAGCTTCTCAAAGAAGCAGATGAATACCCTGGTATATTAAAAAACAATTATCATTATGAATCATAAATGCAAAAAATACTTCATAGAAATATGCAAGCTAGTTTAATACAGCTTTATGAAAAATGCACAATGAAAATAATCAGTTACATTACAGTAACTTTAATTTGGAAGGGATCTTACATGTACTGGCAATCTAAACCCCTCAACAACAACAACAAAAAGACAAGGAAATGGAAACCCAGAGAAATTAGGTGTGTTGCTAACCATCAAACAAAATGTTAAGTGTCAGTCCCAAGAGTAGAACCCAGGTCTTAAGATTTTAGTTTAGGGCTCTTTCTACTAGAATGCTATGCATTCAGTCACAGTCAACTAGAAAAAAAGTAAGTTATTCATCAACACTATTCATGCTGGAATTTAAGGGCCTCTGCCCTTTTCCCCACTTAGATGCCACCCAACTACAGCTATGTTTTGATCTTTCTTCCATACCCCACTTTCAGAGGTTAAGGCTCCCCTCAACATGCTCAATATTTCTCTCTTCCACTATCCTCTTGAATCCATCCTTCCTCATCTCTCAAGAATCTTGATCCATCAATAACTGTCATCTCTTTTCTATTTTCAGACTTTCTACGGTACAGCTCACGTGGCAGCTGGCTTCCTGTACAGCAAGTGCAAGAGAGTGCCCAAGATAGAAGCCACAATCTTTTGTAACCTAATCTTAGAAGTGACATCCCATCATTTTTGCCAAATTTTACTAATTAGAAGGAAGTCACTGAGTCTGGGCCATACTCAAGGGAAGAGAGTTACACAAGGGAGTGAATACCAGAATCATGAGAAGCCATCATAGAAGCTGCCTGCCACAGCTTCTAAAGAAGAAATGCATAGGGCGGCTTGCTAACCAGATACATGGACTTCTTATGGAGCAAGCAATTAAGAAGATGTGGTATTGGCAAAAGGACAGATAAACTGACTAATGGAATATAATAGTGAACCCAGAGACAAATTAATGCATGTTTAGAACTTTGGAAAATAGCAGAAGTGATATGTCAGATAATGAGAAAAGGAAGGACTATTCAGTAAATGGAAGTAGAAAAAGTGGTTATCCATATGACAATGGTATCCCTTATCTCCTCTCACACAATTAAAAACAACAAACAATAGAACTCTTAGTGAAAATGTAGGTGAATATTTTTTAGACCTTTAGATAGAAAATATTTCTTAAACTAGACAAAAAGATATTGATTATAAAAGATGGATAAATATGATTATATTCAAATTAAGAACTGTTATTCATTAAAAGACACCTTAAAGACAGTGAAAGATTTAAAAACTGGAAAACACAATAAGAAAACTATTAATGTCAAGGATATATGAAGAATTCATAGAAGTCAAGGAGAAAACTAAAGGCAACCCAATAGGCAAAAGAAATGAATAGATATTTCTTATAAATAATACATATATAAAGAAATACTCAGTATTATAAGTGATGAGAGAAAGGCAAATTAAGACCACAATGAGAATAATCCATTCTGTTGGCAAAAATTTAAAAGTCTGACAATACTAAACATGGGAGACAATACAGCTCCAAAGGATCTTGTTTATACTGCAGGTGAAAAGTAAATTGAGGCAACCAATTTGAAAATGTTTGAAATTATCTCCTAAAGTTCAACATTAGCAATACTCCATCATCAAGGGAGTGGATGTGAAAATGGTGGTATAATCACACAGTGTAATATTATATGGCAGCCCAAAAATGGCACAATGGATAAATTTTAGCAATATAATATTAAGTGTATAAGTTCAGTCATAAAAGATTTTTAAATTAAAGTTAAAAATATCTAAAATTTTAAAATTCCCAATGAACATGGAATTCAAAATGACAGTTACCTCAGGTCAGTGAGAACATGTTAAGGGACTTATAAGATTAGATGTTAGTTATAGTCAAGAACCTAGTTTTGCTTTGGGTGATGGGTACAGAGATACTTACAACATTATTAAAAATAACTAAGTAAATAAATAAAAACCAAGCATGAACTATAATGAGAATATGTCATGAAACAAAGACATGTTTAATACAATGCTGTATACCTAAGCTTTTTAAAAACTACATGAAACTTTCTTTGATTTCAATTTGCATGTTAATCATGCTCTTTACCAACTCCTATATCAAGTATGACTTCGATTACATGGTACATCTTATAATATCTGTTATTTCAAATGTAATGGTCTTGCTTCCTTACCAAGAATATAAATACTTCCATAAGGCTAATATTTCTACCATACATACTGTCTCTGAAAATGTACTCTGACCACAGAGTAAGTGCTAAATAAATACTTGTTAAATCCTTGATATACTCTGTATATTTGTTCCTGCCCAAATCCCATGTTGAACTGCAATCCCCAATGTTGGAGGTGGGGCCTGGTGGGAGGTATTTGTGTTATGGGGGTAAATCCCTCATGGCTAGGAGCTGTCTTCAGGACAGTGAGTTCTTGTGAGATCTGGTCATTTAAAAGTGTGTGGAACCTCCCTCTCAACACATTCTCTCTCACTCCTGCTTTTGCCATATACGTGTCTGTTCCTGCTTCATCCTCTGCCATGATTATAAGCTTTCTGAGGCCTCCCTAGAAGCCAGGTAGATGCCAGCAGCATGCTTACTGTAAAGCCTGCAGAACTATGAGTCCCTTAAACCTTTTTTTTAAAGAAATTAAAAAAAAAAAAAACCTCAGATATTTATAGTAATGCAAGAATGGCTGAATACAACACTCATATTTAACTTATCCCTCAAATAGCCAAGAGTAAAGCTATGATTGCTGTATCCCAAATTTCTTTAAAAATACTGTATCATTACCTTTAATGTTTCCTACTTCTTTACTCAGGAAAGGAACTTAGACCAAAATCACCTGCTCACCTGTTATGGCTGAGGGAAGCAGTGATTGGGGTAGGCACCACAGTCTGTAACCCCTCCCCTTCTATCTCAGTACCAACGAGGCAGATGAGCTGAAGTTCTGGTAATCCTACACAGTTTACTTCATGCCAGCTTTTGCCTGAAAGAGCATCATTGAATGGACAATAATGTTTATTAAAATCAAAAGATAAAAACTCCAAACTTCTACCTAAAACTCAGCTGAGCAAATATCACTCATAACACTACCTCCTCTCTTTGTTTTTCTAGTAGTTTCTATTACTCAGTAATTCCCAATGTAAATAAATGAAGAAATTATAAAATTAACAGCAAATGCATAAAAGATTGCTTATTATAATGTGAAGAATGCTATATCCCAATCCAATCCCCCAAACCTCTACCACAGTCCCAATAACAAAACAGTATAAACAAACAACTTACTTTCCATGAGGTCCAGGTAAACCAAGAATGCTATATAAACTTGGGTGGCATCTCCTATATCTAATTCCATCATTTCTAAATACTGAAAATTAAAATATAATTGTCAAATCGAGAAGGAAGAATTGTTTAATATTTTCCAATCAACAAGTAGTCATTAAGTACATATAATCCATAAAATTCTTCTGGGTATAGTGGAAGTTAAAAGGCAATATAAAATATTATCTCTGTCTCTAAAGAACTTGCAATTGTTAAATACATGCATACTTAACACAGGCAAATAACAATATATGACTGTGATTAAAAACCATGTAAATGGAATAAAAAACATGACACAACAGGTCAGAAGAGGTCTACTCAGAGGGACTGGTGAAAGCTTTACAGCAGAGGTGGGATAGGATACAAGTTGAGCACGGAAGAACATTGTGATTTGAGTAAATGGAGAAGTTGAGTAATAGTGCAGGTAATCACACAAAGGTGGGATTAAGTCACACATATTCAAGGGACTGTAAAGAAACCTATCTCCCAGCAATAGAAACCTTTTTAATAAGATTTACGTTGGCACGTATTAGTAGGTACTGTGTATTTCCCTAGCCTCTTATTTGTGTGTGGAGAGAGTCTGCCAGAATATCAGTCCTAGCCTCTATCCATTCTTTCTTACTTTAATCATTTAATTTTTTAATCATTTAATTATGTAATCATTAGATTTTTAAAAGGGGGCTGACAAGAAACTAGAGAAAGCTGCTTCTTTCAGACTACTGGTCAGCGTAAGGGGAAGGTGTTTCAGGGGCCTACAGCTGCAGAATTCTGAAGGTGCCCAGCTATGCCAGCGACTAGGTGGATATGCAGGGCTAATGCTGAGGTGACGTACTAGCAGACCTGCATATGGACAGGTCTGAAGTCACATTCTCCCATCAGCTTCACTGTAACTGTACAGGTACAGGAGGATACGGGTTATTAGTTGTCTACTTCAAACATGTTTGAAAGTGACACTCAAAACATAATTTTGAGCCAGGTTGCAAGGTCTTAAGCTAAATGTGTGATTTTTGTCATTGAGGAAATACTGAGGATTTCTAAGCAGGAGAATAATAAAAGTGTGTTTGAGGGTAATAAATCTGATACCATTTTACTGGATGAACCTACATAATTTTTGAATGAACAAAAAGGTGAAACTGGAAAAACAAATACCTCCTATTACTTTATTATTTCTTTTCTTTTTCTTTTAAAAACCATTTTGATCCTTCAAGAAGATAAATCAAAAGGAGAGATTTGATGGTCATGGTGTACACAGCCATTAACTTCAAAATGAAAAAACTCTACAAGTATGTAAACTGAGTAACACCACCAAATCTAGATAAGGTTTTAAAAATTTGTTACTGGTGTTTCACTTATTAAATACTTATATAGTGCTTTCTATATGTTGAATGGCTTAAAAATATGAACTAATTTAATTCTGTAGCAACCCTGTAAGTAAGTATGGACTATTAATATCCCCATTTTTCAGGTGAGGAAACTGAGGCATAAGGGGATCAAACAACTTGTCCCAAATCACAAGGTCGATAAGTGACAGAATCAGGATTTAAACTAAGTCTGATTTTGAGTTCATGCTCCTAACCATTATGCTGTCTCTCCATGCTATTGTTTCATGGCACTAAATATTTCCATACTATTGTTTCTTTTTCTCACCTTTTGGGAGGATGAAGGGGACGGTGTAGGAAGATAAAATTAAGCAAGAGAAGCTGAAAAAGGTTAACTCTTTTCAAACATATACCTTCAAAATTTTCCCTGTTTTTAGGTGATTATCTATGAATTATTGTTCTCTAGCAGAAGAGTATAATTCTATTAAAGTACCAGACCAGACCAGTTTTTGAGATTCTTACAAAACTCACATCTCCATTCACTCGTCTATTCACTGCTTGGACCCTTACTGGGACAAGGCAGTAATGTCTCAAACAGAAGCACACAGGGGACTATCTTTATCTCCCTTCCTGCTACTGTAGAAAAATACAGGCAAAATGTGAGTAGCTCTGCTTTGGGCAAGAACCTATTCAAACTTTCGAAGAAATCTGAAATATTAGGAATCTGCACCTTTGCAAAATAAAGGTGCACTCTGGACCCAATGCTAAGTGTAAACGTGACTGTGCCTAAATCTTTACCATTATGAACCCCTAGAGCTTATCCATCGGCCACAAATTGTCTTGTATGGTTATCGTGAGGATTAAATAAATTCATCCTCGAAAGGGGATTTACCTAGACAGCAAAACTAGTGGAATGCTTATTAGGAATCTCCCCCTCAAGAGGGGTGGAGTTAATGTCTGGTCCTCAGTTCCAGAACGGCTTTGGTGGCGGGTTGGGGAAGGTGTCGGAACGAATAGTTCAACTCATTTAAACAAACAAAACCGATGCTGCCTGGGGTTGGCAGTTGCGCACACCGGTCCACCTCGGTGAGGGTGGCGCGCATCCTCAGCTCTCCCGCTGAGGGAGAAAGAAAGGGCGGCCCGGGAGTTCTGCCTGGGCTAGGGGCCCGGACGGCGCCCTGCTCCTCTCACGCCTCCTGACCTTAGGGTGGGAGCCCATCCAGGCGTCCTCGGGGGCCCACGAGGGAGCTCCGCCGCCGTCGCCAAAGCCGCGAACACCACCTGGACCCAGGCCGCTGCAGCCGGCGGTCGGCTCGGAATCGCCGCGCTCCTCCATGCCGCTGGTTTGGCGCTCCCGTGGTGCACCGCGACCCGCGCCCGGCCAGAAACAGCTGCGCGCGCGCCTGTGGGTTCCGCTTCCCCGAGACTCGCCTTGGCAGCACGAGCAGCTCTGCATCTGGGAGGAAAGCTGCATCAGTCCCTCCTTCTGACCAAGGTAGTAAGAACCTGCGCGAACGCTCTCTAGTGTCGTCTCTAGTTTTGCCCTGCGTTTATTCAAATCCGAGCAAATTCTAGCGTGAAGAATATTAAAGAGTAGCCTGCGCCTTAGAAGCTCCTAATCCTCTTTAAGTCAGTGCTGCCTATAGCTCTCTGAGAAAGCTGGGGGATGTATACGTCCTCTTTGCCTTCAGCAGTGGGGTCCTGGTTTCTGATTCCTGAGAACCGGAAAAGCCTTACTCAGTGCCTTGACAAAAACTTTGAAGTAGAACCATAGTTTCAGGCTGGACCCACGTTTCAGGATTAGAGTTGCTGAGTGAGTGTTCAGAAAGATAGGATACAAACTGGCACAAGCATGTAATGTGGAAGCCAAGGACGAGTTTCAGGCAGGCAGAGTAGCACATTTTAAGCATTTTTAAATTTACTGTGAGTGAAATGGGAAACTGTTGGAGGCTCCTGTTATGTTTTCATAGGATCACTCTGACTATGTTGAGGATGGACTGTAGGAAGCAAGGACACAAACAGGGACTGGTGAGGAGGCTATCGCATTTACCAAGACAAGGATGAGTCAAAATCCAAAGTCCCAGGCAGGACAGAACTTCTACTCTCAACCATGATAGGCTAATACCCTACTGGACCATCCCCAGCAGAAAACAAGTTGAACACAATACAAAAAGCTGAATATACTGGAGGGTGAACAGCAGACTGGTAGGAAGGGCAAGCTTGCTTAAAGATGAGGAACTCCACAAGAACATACCCCTCTCTCTGGCATTTAACTTGGGGCTAAGTGCAGTCCAGAAGTCAGGCTCAGCAGCCGCAGGTGTGTGTGTATAAAACTTATTGGTTATTCTTATCTGGGGAAGCAGAAAAGTGAAGCCAGAATAGTTTGAATTCTGAAGAAGTTAAGAAATCCCAACGAAGGATCAGAGAGTGGATCCCCAAACTCTGTCAATCCACATCTCTGAGAGCTCCTGAACTACCCAAAACAGAATCACAGCAGCTCAGTTAAAAACAAAAAATCTGAACTGAGACCAGAATTGTCTCCGAAAGGGAGAGAGTTTGCAGTTAAAATCTAGCCAGAAAAATCACCTACTAACACAAAGGAAATAACACTCATCAGAGAAGAATAATAGAATCCACACTCTCCACTTAACATTCATAAACTCCAGTATACGATCCAAAACTATCTGACGTGAAATTCAAGAAAATGGATTGCATATGCTAGAGTTTGACCCTGAGATGAATCAGAAGTTGAAACTGACAGATAAGGATTTTAAAGTGACTATTAAAACTATTCTCAATGAAGTAAAAAATGTTTTCAATTAATGAAAATCTCAGGAGACAAACAGAAAATCTCAGCAAAAAAAAAAAAAAAAAAAAA